TATAGATTTCTCAAAATTCATAATTGGTCGAATCCTTTTAATCTGGTATGGTAATCAGTAGACTCATTCAGTAATTGGATTTGAACCCAACTAACATTATCTATAAGGGTATTGGATTGGACCTAAATGGACTTACCTGCACTCTTTAAATACTTTTTTGATTTGGATTGAGTTTAGATTGAGTTCAACTTTCGTCAAACCATTTGGATCCAACCCTAAATGGGTCCTTTTGGGTCTATATAATCATGGAAAAACAATATAGACTATTTCACTATTCACCTTTAATAATTTCACATATTCAATGTTGATGTATGGGTATCCAATGTAATGAGTCTAATTTAGACTCAAACTAAAAAATTAGGTATGAGTATGTTCGAAAATGGTATTAGCCAAACTTGACTTGACCCATAATAAAAATTCAGATTGGGCAATACCCAAATTTTGGGTCTTAGCATTACTTCAAAATGGAAAAAGTTCATGCTTGCATAAAACATATAATTCAACATCAAAACTTTTGCACTAAATCCAACATATATTAAACACAACTAAAATACTTAAATTCAACACACAACATTCACATTCGAATATAAAAATCAAAGTAGTCAATCTTCAAAGATGAATTATTCATATCTATCCAGAATATGAGAAATATCAAAATATTCATTAATTATATTATATTCAAATTAATTTCCTTAAACTTCATGTCTTAGTTTCGCAAACAAATATTCTATTGTTGTCCAAAAATAAGGAAGCAAGGCAGTATCACAAATCAACATGTGGTTTGATGGTTTAAGTTGTTGATATTTTAGCTTGAGATTCGTGGTACAAACCTCACAAGCCCGATTTTATGTTTCCAATTTTCTTTCGAAATACTAAACCAATGAACCAGCCAGCTGGTCAAACCTGTCGATTCTTCGGGTTTGAGTGGATTTCCAAGGATTTCACAGCTTCAGGCTCACTCCATATTGCTAGGTTTTAACAAACACACCCGCAAACCGGCCCAACCCGATCCAACCCACACATATGTATTGCTAAAACGAAGGTTTTGGGTTGGGTGAGAATTTTATTTTGTACAACCCGCCTATTTTGAGTTGGGTTTGGATTTTGGATTACGCAACACGAGAACACAACCCAATCCGTGCTCCAACTATTGGTATGAGTTCGTATCCAAAAATATTTACGTCGTATATAGCCATACTTATGAAAAATTAAGATATTTTGTCATGTTTTTCTCTCATGGTCTCACTAATCTAATGCATTCTTGGGCTTAAAGTTTAGACATAAATTTAATATAGTTATTATTCACGTGATCATTTTTCTTGTGTACAATTTTAATAGAATAACATATTATGGATGCGTTCGTTTATAACCTTTTTAGCCTATTTCAAAAAATATGGTGAAAAAACTAGGCATATGTTGAAGTAAATCACATTTTATTAAAATTCAAACAACATTTGTGAATTTTGATAACTTTCGCCTCGTTTTAATTGTTTGAAATTTTAATTATTTATAAAATATTTTTATGTTGTAAATTAATTACATATTATGGGCTGGGTTGGGTTTTTACTTAAAAATACCGCCAACCCGACCCAACCCAATTAGAAACAAACCATAGGGTTTAATTTATTTTTTTTTTGACTGGGTTTGGGTTTAATATTTCTCAAACCGTAGTGCATGGGTCGGATGATTAAAATGGCTAAACCCGAACCACCCGACCCATGTACACCCCTACCTATTGGGCAACTGTTAGCCGATTAAGACGTCGCGTCTGGGTCGATCTGTGGGTTTAGACCCATGATTTGAAACAGACATATTTATAAATTATAAATAAGTTGATGGTAGGAAATTAAGAATACAAATAATCGACTGACATGATAGTATATTGAATTTCTTACAATATTTTTTTTTATGATTATCGAAACAATCTAATTTTTTAATCACTAATCTAGCTAATTAACTACTATACCTGATCATCTCCGTGAGGGTTATTGTTAGTTGTTTGCACGGTCTAAATAACTATCCCATCTTGAGCCAAGTTTAACTCAAGATGGCGTTGCTATATAGTGGTGACCAAGGTCGTATCCACGGGTTTCGGTAATCTAGCTTACTTCCCGCTCTATTGTTATCTAAGCAATCGATTTTTAGGTTTGTTTTGGAGACTCTAATTGAACTACTGGTAGATGTAGAAATAGAGATAAAAGTAGGTACTTCAGGATAACTCCCTCGCCCTATCCTAGGTCTAACATGCAAATGATGAACTATGATGGGTTTATCAGATATGGTACGTGAGCTCTCTAATCTTGTGGGCCTTCGTCGTTATCTCACGCCTCCGAGTACGTCTCCCGAGACCCATTGTCACTTCGGTCAAGGCTCACGTATCTAGGGCATTACGAATTTAGCTCATTTCAATAGGTTTTACCTATTGTGCACACGAAAAATTCGGATATGTGCGCTTGCGAACCTCTAGAGCATTGTCTAGGAAGTCATTTTTGTATCAGAGCTACAATCGCCTCATCCACTACAAGACCCTTAGTTCATTCATCTACCCTTAATCTGCTAGTTGACGCTATCCAGTCTAACTCTAAAACTCTTACCAAGCATTGGCTCATCATAGGCTAGTAGAGAAGAGTAGGGCGACTTAGCCAAGCATAATCAAACATATAATCACTAGAACAAACACATTCATTCATAAATCCTAACATAATTCATTCATCTACATTATAAACCTAATTTAGGGTTTGGGGGGTTTTAACCCCTAGCACCTTAGAGGACTACTCCTAAAGGAGGGAAGAACATTGAAGAAAAAGAAGACTTGACGGGGGAGATGACTTCTTCCTCTTAGATCCTCCTTCTCTTATTCTTCTTCCTTCAACTTATCTCTCTACTTTCTCTCTCAAAGAACCAAAAAATTCAATCCAAAAAAGATCTCTCTCTGAACGGGGAAGGCATCCCATATTTATAGAATTTCAGGTCTCGGGCAAGTTCGCGACCATGCTAGGGAAGTTCGCGGGCACGATCTTGAGTAGGAAGGCAGCGATCTTCAAGTTCCATCTTTTCATTCTTCGTCCAAGGGGAGACCATGCGGTGACTTCATGGTCATGATCCATGAGTCGCGGCCGCAATCTTACTCATGGGCTGGGAAGTCAAGCGTTGCGATCCGACTTGCGAAACTCTCTGCTTTTCCTGGACTGGTCTTCCTGAAGTTGACGACTGGGGCCTCTAACTTCGCGGCCGTGATATTTGCTCTCACTTTGCATGCTCCTATTCTCACACAAAGGAATCTGCATAATCTTGTGACTGATTTCCATGGGGAGGCAGCTTATAATGACATCCCAATCTCATTGGTTCATTTAAGGATGAATGAGCTCCCTTATTTTGGCATCGATGGGAAGGCCTCGATGAGCGGCGTTAATAAAATTTGGCTGACTAGCTGACAGCCACCTATCCCCAAAATCCGCACATCCGACCCTTTGTCAACAGGGGCGTAGCCAGGATTTCGCTTAAGGTAGGTCCGAAATAAAAAATATATATAATAAAAATTATTAATGTTTACAATGATCCACGACGTGTTTTCATATCTTGAAAAGTCTGTAAAATACTTTCATCATCCAACCTATCTAAGATATCACTCTCAACATATGCTACCAAAAAATCATTAAGCCCTTCATCGCTCATTCGACTTCGTAGTGTGTTCTTCACGTAGTTCATGGCGGAAAATACTCTTTCGACACTTGCAGTGGCAACTGGTAACAACAATGCCAATTTCACAAGTCGATACACCAATGGAAATGGTCGAAACTTCTTTGCCACAACCATTTCCCTACAAAGATAAGGAATTCCCTTCAACTTAGTGAACCTGTTATCCGTCTTCACATCAAAGATATAAGTATCAAGCTGAGGATCAAGATGTAAGATATCATCATCAGAGAATTCACTAGGATAAAAGGTAGCAAGTTTTAACAACTTTTTCTTGTCAAAGTCAACAAATGCATCATCTGGATTTAGGCAAGCCACACAACATTGCAATTCAGTGTTCACTTCATCAAAGCGACTATTAAGCTCTTGCAACTGCATATCCACAACTGTATAGAATAACTCAACCTTGTAATGATGCATATTGGTGATTTGTTGAGCATTTTTCCTTGGCCTTCCAGAAAGAATGTATAACTCATCCATGTTGGAAATAGGAAGACATTCCTTCTTGCAAAAAAAAAAAAAAAAAAAAACCACACTATCAAGAAGAGACTCCCATCCTTTATCTCTCAAATCTTGTAATCTAAGTTTTTCCCCACGAACAAGGTGCATGGCATTCACTATGTCTTGATCTTTCCTTTGCAATGATTTAGATAACTCATTGGTAATCGCTAAGACTTTAATCATCACATGCAAGATGAATGCAAAATCAAAAGTTTTGATGCACATCAATGTGACATATGCCTCACATTTTGCATTTTGCCTCACTTTTGATGATGTCCAAACAATCAATAACAGAAGAGTATATCACAGGAAAGTTAAGAAGCGTGTCAAAATGTGATCCCCAACGAGTATCACAAGGCCTTTTAAGACCAACTTCCTGATTTAAACCCCGTCCACTCTCAAGTTCACCACAACATAATGCCTCAACAATTTTATCAGTCTGACTTTCTCGAATGTTGTCCATCCTCTTATAGGATCCTCCTTCCAAATTTATCAAGTTGGTAACAAGTGTGAAGAAGCCACTAACATCACCATGTTGTTTAGCAACAGCAACAAGTGTTAACTGGAGTTGATGGGCAAAACAATGAACATAGTAAGCTGATGAATTTTCTGCCAAAATTAAAGCCTTGAGCCCATTGATCTCCCCACTCATATTGCTAGCTCCATCATAACATTGTCCTCTTATTCTTGACAAGCTCAATCCATTCCTCACTAGTATCGATTCCATTTCCATCTTAAGTGTTAAGGCTTTAGTATCTGAAACATGAGCAATCCCAAGAAGTCTCTCCATCACATATCCTTCATCATTTACATAGCGCAACACAAATAGCCATTTGCTCTTTGATTGATGTATTACGAGCCTCATCCACCAAAATGGAAAAAACATCATCTCCAATGTCGCATATGATTTGCTTGGTCACTTCACTTGCAATTGCATGGACAATATCCTTTTGAATGTCTGGGGAAGTCATCTGAAGGTTTTTTGGAGCATTTCTCAACACAACACTTTCCACATCCTCTCTACCACGAGCATGAAATTTCAATAATTCAATAAAATTTCCACTATTCTTTGAAGATTCTGATTCATCATGCCCACGAAGTGCTTGCCCTTGGCGCACACAATGTCTGATGCAATCAATTGAAGCTTGCAAACGAATTCTATAATCCATCTTTGCTTGATCTGATTGCTTACATAAAGAAACTCCAATGCTTTGAGACTGTTTCATCAAGTCCTCGCCTTTTCTCATAGCTTTGTTGTGTTCACTATTGACATGACCAACATGTTTCTCAAAACCCTCCTTTCCTCTATTCCAAGCTCTAAAGCCCTTAGACATAAAAGAAGCACTTCCACCCTTCTTACTATCATCACTCCTAAATAAGTAACAATGCAAGCAATATGCAGCATCCTTTGCAATACTGTATTCCAACCAATGATATTTTTTGTACCAAGAAGGCTTAAAGCTTCGATGAACTCCCCCAATATCTCTAGATGGGAAATCATGATTGGGTTGACAAACACCTTTTTGAAGATAATGTCTTCTGATCATATCTTGAACATTAGGATTAAATAATGCTACTTGTTCTCTTAACCCCGGATCAGCTTTCAAAGAGTTCACATCAAGCTCATTTTCTCTAGATGCAATGCTAGGAGTAGAGTGATTTACCGAGAGAGATTGTGACACTGATGGTGTTGATGGAGTAGAATTAGAATCATGTCCAGGTGCTAATGAATTCAATTCACTATCTTCACGCTCATGGGAAGTCGTAGCTATCCGAGGCTTCTTCGGATAATATCTCTCCATAATAGTATCCTAAAAATTCAAAGCCAAAGCAAACAAAAGAATTTGTAATTAGGACACATTCGACACAACTACATCATAATTTATAAGCAAAGAACACATTAAAAACAAACAGGGGTATGCCCCAGCTACCAAGTCCCAAACCAATTTCCACCATCCCAATTCCTTGGTATTAACATATGAAATGACCACATATAGATTACCAAATAGAAACCAAACCATTACTCCTATACTACAAAACCTCCACTGCCAAATAGAAACCAACTCCTATGAAGAGTTTAGACAAAATGAAATCATCTTAACTCTTAAGATAGGAAATCTGATAAAAACTGAGAGGGGATGAGCACCGGCAACAAAAGGAGGCAGTACAAGCATTATTGGCGGCCAAACAACCTATTGTCGAAATCAAAAGCGACAAAGAACACTCACCGGTCAACAGAGAAAGGAAGGCAGTTTCGGAATGGAAACTGGAATCAAAGAGCCGCCCACGCAAGAGGATGCCAATGATGGCAATCCAAGCAGCCGTTGGAGCCTCGATCAATGGATTTTGGTCTTTGAAAATGAGATTGTGGCCTTGTGGGAGTTTTGCTCTGTACATGGACGAGCTGCGGCTGCGGGTCTTCTATTTTGGGAGAAAATTGAAGGCATTAGGGATTCTGTCTGGGCTTGGGGAATAGGCAGTGCCGTGAGTTAATTTATGCACTCTCAGATACTTAGTTAAATAAAAAAAATGTTCATTAATTTCAAAAGCTTGCAGGTGGCGTAAGGCAGAAACGGCTACTATTGAATGGGAGGTTAGGAGTTCGATCTCTCATCCCTACATCATTATATAGTTATATTTTTTGTGTTTATTTCTAATTCCAAGGTGGTGCAGTTGACCTCCCTAGGTCAGCTCTGCCTCCGCCCCTGTTTGTCAATTCCCCATAGAAGATCCCCACACAGAAAATCCTAGGCGCTCAGCAGGCTACGCAAAATAAATCTCGGCTTGTAACCAACGTGGGTGTGCAAGATCGTTGTGTACTTAAAATACTTGGCCTTCATGGTACAACTTATGACAGATGTCGGGCGATGATGTAGGCACCATAATTGCTTTGCTAGCATTGCGGTATTGAGTCCCTCGATATCCCTGAATCCTATGCCACCGTCCTCCTTTGGTTCATCATCCCATCTTGGCTCAGCCAATGGACCCGCTTCTCATAACCCTTTTGCTCGCATTATAAGTTCATAATCAAACTATGGACATTGTTAATTATGGCATCCGAGAGTTTGAAAATTGACATGGCATAGGTAAGTTGCGCATGAGCCACTACTCTGATCAACGTCTCACGTACGACCGAGAGAGTTTTTTCTTTTTACCCTTTTAGCTTTTTCCTGATTTTGTCCTTCAGTCTTGCAAAAATTTCTTTTTTCGAACATCCCACCATAGTAGAAAGATCCAAATACTTATCATGCTTCTCCACAATAACCATCTCGAGAGTTTCACTCACCATTAGCCTCTGTTGCAGCCCGACTCTCTTTCATATGCTCGCAAGATATCCTTAAGCACTCCACTTTCATGAACCGTAGCACTACCAAAAAATACACAATAATCTGTGAGAAAAATGGGAGATCATCGGAGCACCCCTTGCCGGATACATCCCATGCAGACACTTCTCTATCATCGCTTTCGTCATAAGAGCCGAGAGACCTTCCACATAGAAGAGGAATAGATACAGTGAAAGTGGATCCCCTTGTCAAAGACCAATACCTGGAGTTATAATATTTGACTGAAGTCCATTAACGAGGACAGAATAAGTAACTGTGCGCACACAGTTCATGATTAATTCCACCCATCTCTGATCAAATTCCTTATGTAGCATTATCTCTTACAGGAAATGCCATTCCACCTTATAATAGGCATTCATCGATCTTCGCAATAAAGACTCCAACACTCATTTTATATTTATTTTTATCGAGTTAAAGCATTCATATGCTGCCATAATATTATCCGTGCATGATGAACCTTCCCGGAATAAAGACACTCTTCTCCTCCGAGACAACAAGATCCAACACTATTTCGGCCTGTTAGCCATCACTTTTGCTACAAGTTTATACACTATATTGCATAAACTAATGAGTCGAAATTCTTGGGGAGTAGATGGCACCTTGGCCTTAAAATTTAGCATAGTGGCCATCACTTCTTCCCCTATAACTGCCTAATGTTTCTCGTAGAACAGGACTGATAAACCGTCCTCTCCTGGAGACTTGCTAGATCCCACCTTTTTCAGCGTTTTGTCCTGTGAAACTGTATCAATAATTCGTTATTATGCTTCGTCATTACTGAGCTTGGAATTGCATCCAACACTGGAGTTACCTGCGGGGCTACATTGGCAGTGAACAAATAAGAAAAGTAATCAGTAAAGCACTTAAAATTCAGGATGGTTATGTGTGCCAATAACCCGCCAGATCGTTAATCTTCCGAATTGTATTGCACATTCTGCGGATGGTAGTTTTTGTGTGTGGAAAAGGCGGTATTTTTGTCCCCATCGCGAAGCCAATCTGCCCTCGATCGTTGACTCTAATAATAGTGTTCTTCATTCGCTTTCTGCGGGTAGATGTTCGTTAATCTCCAGTTGTCTCGTTTCGATATGTTTTGTTTTAATTATTTGAGCCAAAACAAGCATCTTTTATAACATTTCACCGAAATAAGCTGACATTTTTCGTAACAATTGTTTCCAAAAAACAAAAGTTTGATATACTTTTTAAAGGGAGAATAATACAAACTCATCATAGAACAATATAAATCTAATTTACTAATAAATTCCTCGTATACTAATAACAGTTTGAAGGTTTAGGAAAATTCTACGCCAAAAAGGAACATTAGCATGATTCCCCAGAAACCCAAAGCACCCTTATTCTCTCATCAGTACTACAACACGTAGCTTGAAGCTCATGGTAGCTCGTTCCCCTTTGTTCGTATAATATTTTACCCCCTCAAAACAAAAGAAGGATATTCGGTAACGAAATGCAACAATAAAAGACAAAAAAAAAAAAAAAAAACGTATATGGCGACGAAAAAAGTAGAACCATGCGGCAATCAAACCAAGCTCTCCAAAATGAAATGTAAACATATGAGGGTAAGTAAAGTTAGCAAACGCCGCTGCTCTTGTTCTTGCGCTCCATGACGAACTTCTTCCAGAGCGTGGTGACCTCCCGCTGCGTCTCCATCTCCGTCTTCTTGCTGCCGAAGAGGGTCCTGTCGGCGTCCTCTCCGGCCATCTCCATCTTGGCCTTCATCTTGGAAGGCAGCATGTCCAGGTCGTGGAGCACCTTCTGGATGTCGTTGACGAGCCGCTCCGCCAGCGTCCGGGAGAAGTCCTCCCTTATCACCACGCGGAGCACCGTCACGTGCTGGGCGTCCGCCGGCATGGTGTAGGCCGGCACGATCCAGCCGTAGCGCCGCAGCAGGTCGGCGATCTCGAACTCGTCGTGGCTCGAGTTGTCCTTCAGCGAGAAGGCCACGAGCGGGACCCCGACGTCCTTGGACACGATCTCGATCCGCCCGGTCTTCTCCAGGCCTTCCTTGAGCACCCGCATGTTCTCCATGCAGTTCTCCATCACGTGCCTGTATCCCTCCAGCCCTAATCGAATGAGCTGGTAGTATTGTGCAATGACTTGACTAGATCCTGTTGATGACGTGAACAAAATGATTACATCTTAGTTAGTAGGGCGGTAAGTAAAGTATGACCCTAAATACCCACTGATCCGTCGATATTAATGGTGGCTGATTATTTCGATGAATCATTTCTTCGGACAGAAGAAGATTGTGTAAACACTTACTCGAAATCTCACTTATCAGATTCCATTGTGGAAGACAACTATTTTTTCTGAAGAATTCGCCATGATATATCTGATCTATGCATAATATCGTGAAAAATGGATACAAATTTTCGACGGCTACTTAGTGGGGAAATGCACCTGGTGCCGTAGCTAATCGAGTAGCTCTAGATCAGCATGTGTACAAGCTCGTAATGAGGGACGTGATCTTGCTCGTGAGGGTAATGAAATTATTCGCGAGGCTAGCAAATGGAGTCCTGAATTGGCTACTGCTTGTGAAGTATGGAAGGAAATTAAATTTGAATACGCTGCAATGGATACCTTGTAATGCCTCGCGCCCCGGCCCTGACCCTTAGGGTCGGAGCACAAGTCAGTTTAATTATCTACATGGTCTGTTTAGGGACGGGTCGGGTTAGGGTTGGACAGGGTCATGGTCAGGGTCAGTTTATGGTCAGGGTCACTTTGATGATCCTATGATCCATAATGTCTTGAAATTCATCGTACCCATATATTGGACTTGTTTGTAAACTTTTAAAACTTTAGATACTATAACGCAAGAGACAAAATATAAAGGTATCAAAACGTAATTTTCACCAAATTTGTGGACCTGTTTGTACGAAAATTTTAAACAGGTACTAAATTGGGAGAGAAAATAATTTTGAGTATCAAAATATAATTTTTCTAATAAGTTGTGCATGCACAACGTAGGCCCTTTGACCCGCCCCGCTCAATCCGACCCGACCCTAATGGGTCAGATAGGGTCACAAAGGAATTAGGGGCGGGGCGGGACGAGTCAGTTTTTTTATTTTGACCCTTCAGGGATGGGTCAGACACAGCGGCGGATCCAGAACAGGTTAGAGCACAGAGCCGCGCATTTAAAAAGCGATGGAGTTGCTGATCAGATAGGGTTAGGGACGTGTCATGAGCAATTTTCAGCCCTATTAATCAGTACGCACTACAATTCGCTTTGTCTTTTGAGTATTGATCATGAATGAATTGTGATGTTACCTTTGGAGAAGTTGAGAGTGAATGTGGGCTGGTCGGCACCGAGGTAGTTGATGTGGAAGATGAGCTCGTCGGGCAGATCCTCCTTGTTCCTCCAGATGACCCACCCGATGCCGGCGTAGACCAGCCCGTACTTGTGGCCGCTGACGTTGATGCTCTTCACCAGGGGCAGCCGGAAGTCCCACTCCAGCTCCGGGTAGAGGAAGGGGGCGATGAACCCGCCGCTGGCCGCATCCACGTGGATCGGGGTGTCCCACCCGGTCTCCTTGTTCTTCTCCGCGAGCAGATCGTTGAGGGTCTTGACGTCCTCGAACTCCCCGTTGAGTGTGGAGCCGAGGATGGCGGCGACGCAGATGGTGTTCTCGTCCACCATCTCCACGGCCTTGGCCGGGTCCATCACGTAGTAGCCCTCCCGGAGCTTGACCTCCTTGAGCTCCACCTCGAAGTAGCGGGCGAACTTCTCCCAGCAGACCTGCACGTTAGCCCCGGTGACGATGTTGGGGCTGTCCGTGGGGAGGCCCGCGGCTCTGCGCTTGTTCTGCCACTTGCGCTTGAACGCCAGCCCGGCCAGCATGATCGCCTCCGAAGATCCCACCGTCCCGACTCCCATGGCCGCCTCGCTGTCGCCCAGCGGCGCGTTGAACAGCCGGGCGATCATGTTCACGCATCGGTTCTGTATTTTGCATGCATGCCCCACCACGTCAATGATCAAAATTTCATATAATATAATAATAATAGTAAGGAAATGATGAGCGGAGCATGCCTGGAGCTCGGTGGTGACGGGGTACTCGTCCATGTCGACGTAGTTTTTGTTGATGGAGGACATGATGAGCTTATCGCACTCCGGCTCCATCCACGTGGTGACGAAGGAGGCCAGGTTCAGCCTCGGGTTCCCGTCCAGCATCAGCTCGTCGTTTATTATCTGGTACGCCGCCTCCTTCGGGATCGAATGCTCCGCCATCTTGAACCTCGGGAGCGTCGTGCGCACGTACCGGGAAGCGAAGGTGGAGTGCACTGACTCGTCCGTCTCCACCTCGGCCGTCGACAGAGCCATGATAGATCGATCGATTCTCTGCTATCTGATTGATTCTGAGAAAGAGAGCAACTAGTGGATTTCTGTTTCTTTTTTTTTTTTGAGAATTGGAACAAGCTAAGGAGGACAGGAGAGTACTAGTGTGTGTGTCTGTTTGTCAAATAAAATAACAGAAGAAAAGTAGAATGAAATGCAATAATCGGGGGCGTGTCGGCCGATTGATGGGGGTACTCTGCTCCAGGGATCTGAGCCCTTCATCTTTTTTTTTGGTGATATTTAACAAGAAAAAGAGGGCCACTAATTCCTTCCTAGTTTCCCCACCTTTCTTTCCCCTCTTCTCTCGCGCGTGTTTCTATCGGTCATCCGCCCTTTGGGGGTTTCGTCAAGTAACAGAATGTCGTCTACTATAAACTCTTTTTCGTATATGGATTAATAATAGTAAAATTTTGCAAATTACATCTCTTACCATCGTAACCCTATCTTCGTATCTGCAACATTATTACAAATGGATGTATTCCATGAACGCATATATACTATATGTTGATGTTTTAGTTAAATGATTAGATTTAAATTTTTGGGTTAATAGTATAAATTACCTCTTTATTATTTTGCGATGAAAATAATTTTATAAATTGCCTCTTTATTATCCTAAGTTAAAAATCGAATTGTTTGCCATATGTTTTGTCGAAGAAGAATGAAAGAACCCTTTCCACTCCCTAGTGAGAGTCGTGGCAACTCACTAGCATACATCTGTCCAATTCTTCATCAACTCTCTTATAGAAACATATTTCTAGGATTTTTACCGGTCAGGATTGTGGGATCTGATGAGATGAGTAGATAATTGGGGATTTAGGGTTGTAGAAGATAGAATTAGAGATTTGAAGAAGAATTGAGGAAGAACCAGAGCGAATGGCCAACAACCTGATTAGGGGCAGAGCAGAGATTGAGAGGATTAGGGTTTACGATATTTTCTTAATATTCCTTTTTATTGATTCTGACATAATACAAAAATACATATTTAGGGAATAATGACAAACTCTAATAATAAAACTAATGTGACTAAAATACTACTAACCATATAAATGATAATGCAAACAATAATTATAATAAATAAGATAGAAACCCGGAAGGATTTGGTTTCTATCACTCTCTATAGCAACTTGTGAATGGCGCGACTTCGAACATAATGGTGATGAATGAGTGGTTGGTTGACAAGCTGTGTGACTGTGTCGGTTGATCGATGACAAACTATGGCACGACGGTCGATGTTAGGCAAATGACAAGTTGACTAGCTTCTTCAACTGTTTTAGATTAATTTCCGCAAATCCGAAATCTAATTCCAAACTAAACCCCACATTTGATAATTTTCAAGTTGAACCTATTCGAAATAAATTCCCAAACTTGATAACCGCCTGCTGATGCCAATTTGGGAAACTTGGAAATCACGGTTCGCTATTCAGAGTGATGATTTGGTGAAACGGAAAGAGTATTTAGGTTTGGGATTCTTGAAAAATAGAGTGATGAAGTGAGGAGTCTAGGTGACACTGGTGGGGATCGGAGGGCGTGACAAAGGAGAAAGAAGGCTTGGTTCGGGGAGTGAAGGATGAGCAGTGGAGAGGTCTGGCTCACTATCATTTTCCTCTCGATGGGGGAGATAGCCATGAAGAATATATGAATTGGAAGGGTTAACTTTGAGATTTTGATTCGGGTTAGATTACACACTTTTGCTCCCCTTTTACTTGCGATGTTTGATGTATTTGCACCATCTTGGAGATAGTTTACGCGAGCTTTGTTTGTGTTTTGTCATGTTTCAAACCATACTAGGTAATCTTGGCACCGGGATTGAAAGTCAAACTAAAGACGGCGAAAGGGGAGCAAAATGGCTAAAAATACAGAGATCACGGCTGCGGAGCAATTTTCATCCGCACAAAACGTGATGCCAACTCTCCAACATCATCATCTAATTGTTGTGCCATTTTTATGGCCAAAGGAGTAGTCCTCCTTGAGCACATCTAAGACTTTGTGAATCGAACATACTAACACTATTATCCCAAACGTGGCCAAGGGCAACCATGATCGGGTGTAGTATAGCGGAAGTAAAGTTTATTTTTCAACCCGCGCGGAAAATTTACTATTACTTTCACGACAAAATTCTTATTTAGTAAATGGAGGTTTGAATTAACTAATCAACAAACAAAGCAACGAAAATTTGGTTGAAAATTATCAAGAGAAAGTCACTCGTGTGTCATTTTCCTCTTGCTACAAAATAGACCAAAGAATGATGATCCATGCTTGTCGGCTCGTGATTTATACCGTAGAGAATCCTATTCTCACTTGGACTCTCTCTCTCTCGAGTTATCCAAACTTACCTAGAACAGAGTATCTTGAGGGATAGTTTCCACATCCGGCAAAATAGTACATCTAGGGCGTGCCAAATAGATTTCCACTATTGGATATGACATTGTAGTCCGATTTCACACTCCAACCATCGACCCACAGTGAAGAATGAGATAAGTTCTCTAATCAACTTATTTGGATATTCTCTACCTTAGGTTAATAGCAACAATTGGAAGGATTTGATAAATACCCAAACCAATTCCATGAAATACCTCAATTCTATCAATAATCAGGAGTTCAAACAGGAAAGAAAATCTTTATTCATCTAATATAACACATATAGCTAAAGTTCTACAACACCCAAGTGAAAGAGGCTTTAGCTCATAGTTATATAGAGAGAAAAACACTAAATCAAGAGAAGAAAACATACTTAAGGAGTGGATTCTTGCTCTTGCTCTTCAATCTCCAATCCTTTATGATGGAATTGACCTCCAATGGTGGATTGAAGCTCCAATTCTTCACCTAGAGATTTCCTTTGTTGCTTTCTCTCTCTACCCAGCAGCTCACACTTTCTCACTTTAGACACCTATATAAAAAATCTATTTTCAACTCCTATTTATAGCCCAGCAAAGCAAATGTCATGATTGCCCATCACGATCGTGAGGTTCACATCCAAACCGTGGGGTCAACCCAATTTGTGTCATTTCGCTTTTGTGCAATTCTCATGATTTGCAACCGCGAGGTTTACATTAGGCCGCGAGATGCATATGTCCCTTGGGAAGTTTGCAAGTTTCATTGCCTCCTTGCATTTGTCACAGTTTGTAAACCGTGACATCTTCAAGCGCCCTCAAAACACTATTGGCCTCTCTGCAGATGTCATGGTTTGCTTGCGATCCTCACACCCTTGTCGGGAGAATGTGCTATGAAACATGAACTTTTCACTTTTCTTCATTTTCCCCCATTTTGGCTCCTATTGGTCAAACTCTCGCTCCTTTTGCCAATTTCACCAGCTAGGACCTGAAATGCACTCAACCACGAACAATCTGGCATAAAGCGAGATCAAGGATGATAAATCAAAAGTCAAATGATCAAGTAAAAGGGTACATATGTGTATAATTAGGCCCCAATCATTTGGCAGCCATTGACGTGAGATGCTTGAGAGCTCGAAGGGCAGTCATTTGCATTACATCACTTTTGGCAACTTGATTACCATCAACGTGGTGTTTAGGTCGAGACCTTTGCCAACAATGTCTGCTAACTATTCTTGACCAAACGCATGATGAGGGCAAGAGCGAATGAGCTCCTGAAATCTCTCCCATACTTTGTTCAAATGGATTCTCATTTGTAGCCCTTAAATACTCCAACATTTTGGACCATATGGATTGTTGAAGTCCTAATTAGCTCGAATTCAGAAACAAAAATTGGAGGTAGGAAGATGTTGGAAGTGATGTTCACAACTTCAAGCCTCGTGTACTCGTAGAGAGTTCGTTCAATTATGCCTCCTGGAGTTTAAGGTACAAATGGAGGCTTGTTGTTGTCTAATTTCGAACACTGGTCGAATAGTGGGTTTATCCCCGAATGTCGATCAATACACACATAAACTTGAGAAATAAAATACAAAAAAAAAACAAAAAGCATAAAACTAAACAAATATGAGGGGAGTTAGAATAGGCACTTAGATCACCAAAATGCGAAGGAAAGCGGAGCTCGTACAACCACTTACTTAGGTGGTGAGGGACGAGTTCTATATGCTTTAGAAAATTCAACTGTGGAGGTTGGGTTCCTATTGTGTTGAAGTTTTCCTTGGTTTTAGAAAATCGAAATTAAAAGAATGCAAAATTAGAAAACTAAGCTATTAGCTGGTGAAGGAAGCAAGAGGACTTGGCGTTGCATAGGCAAGATCCCTCTAGATTTCATTTGACTAGTAACTTCGATCCTGGAAACATATGAGTTGTCTGATCTTTGTAAGGTTTACCCCTTCCATACGTCGTGGCAATCGCCAGGTCTATATATAGTATGCAACGATATGAGGACCCTACGAATGTCTCCTTTGAGGAAGCCAACGAGTTTGATCGATTGAGGATAGATTGTGAGGGATCATCGTGTCCAGTCTAATTCACTCACGAAGTCGGGTTTGGGGATATGACTTTTGAAGTCAGTCATCGTGTTAAGTATGCAATCAAATCAACAATAAATCAAACGAAAGAACAAACAGAAAGATAAAGGGATCAACTCAGCATATATATTTCAAAATAAAAGATTACATAGTCTAGAACCTCCAGGGTTTGCCTGGCTATTCAAATAAGGGAACTAGTCGACCATGGCCCCTAGAGTAACAAGGGGTACATCACTCAAGACGAGATCCCCAAGGAGCTCTCTAAATTGCATCAAGAAAAGAGATTTTGGGGACTAGATCGCTGATTTTGGCACCGATCTAGCCTTCGTATCAGGTTTTACTCTAAGTCGGGTGTGCCACTCTATTGCCATAGTAACAAACATCTAATGCCTCTTGTGATTGGCTACCATATTCCTACCATCTCGATGTCTATTTTCGCACTTTCTACATTTCATAGCACATCGGAGAGTACTTTGTGTTATATTACTATTCATAATATTTCCCCCTTTCTTGAATAGATTACCTATTCCTCATCGAACTAGAAAAAAGAACATGGTTTTTTCCTTCTTCATTGTATCCTCATATTTAACGTGGATATAATGAACTATAACAATTGAGATATTGGACTCTCCATAGAGTAGTCACATGCTTAATGAATGTGAAACACCTAAATTTGGTGTCTAGTGTGTCTGTGTTTTCCTTTTTCGTACGTGTTGTGATTTTCTTGAGAAAAAAACACAAAACCAACTGGATGCTCAACAAGTGATCATGCATTGTCGATACAATGTGAGGTGACAACATTAATAATTACATGACGGAACAAGCATGGACATTGTCGTCGCTGAAGAAGGAGACGAAGTTTTCTTCGGGAGCAGCGTTGGAGGAGGTTGCCGGGAAGGCCTGGACGACGTTCCGGACGAAGCCGGCGGGAGCCTTCTTGTCGTACGCACCGGCGGCGTAGGGATAGTAGGCCAGATGCTGAGGGACGTACGGCCAGAACTCGGCCACCTTCCCGGTGCTCTTCACCCGCTTCAGTACCCGATTCGGATCCACGTACCCGTGAACCACTACCCTGTTCTGCTTCCGCGTCACTTCCACCGTCTTCACTCCTGCAGTGCAGTGCATGCCAATTTAATTCATAAATAAATAAATAAATAATTATTTCTACAAAAATGTTATTAGTCCGTATCGTCCGGGGCGGAGCTAGGATTTAAAGTTTGGGAGGTCCGGAATAACTTTGTATATTATCGCCAAAATGAAAGAATAAAAAAAATGTATATAAGTATATAACAATATAACATTAATTTAAATAATCGAAAGCACTCAAAATAGAATTAACTTAAAGTTTTCTAGTATGCTATGCTCAAAGTAAATGATTATACTAAGGAAAAAAATGTATCATGTAATTTTTTCAATTTTATTATGCATTGAATATGATTTTATGATTATATTAATGTTTGTAAAAATTAATTAATTAAATATAAAAAAATCCTTGAAGTTCAAGAACTCGAATGAGGTTATTTAAACTTATAGGATATATAAGACAAGCAGAAAAAAAAAACACTAATTAAATAGTAAGGTAAAATTGTAGACTACCAGGATCGAACCTGTGACCATGTAGCTGCAAGTAGGTATCACCTCTGCTAGGCTGTAAATCTGCCTAGATAACAATTTTTCAATCGGATTGTATCTATATTTACATTAGTTTATACGTAATTTTTGAAATTTCCTACGACTTTATACGTAAGTTTCAAAATTCTGGGGCGGCCCTCGAAAACCTACATAGCTCCGCCCCTGCATACATCATTGTCACGTCAAAGAATAAAAACATATCCATCATTGCCTGCCACTTACACTAAACTACTTAATTATTATCTAATCATTAGCAATTAAATAATTGGGAGCTGTCGCTTTATTCCGAAGTACCAGTGTCCAATATATATTACATTATTATTGACCGGCCCCCTCCGCCGCACGTAAACAATAAACAAATATCAATGGGAATTTCACATAAATAGTTTCATATCCATAATCATTATTCATCAACTTTAGCAATTATAGATTAAAGAATTTATAGTAACTGAAATGAGCATTATATTCAACACAAAGAGAATAGGATCAGTCAAAAGTTTATAGATTTTATAATCAAATTGGGAGTTTATCTGCCAACGCTATAATGATTATTGGACTAGGAGAATAAAATTATATTGTTAGGGACTAATTACGGGAAATATTCATCATGGGAACTAGTAGAATAAAACTTACATTGTAAGGATGATGGTTGTAGGGAGGTATTGGAAGGAGTGATGAATGGGGTTGAAAGATAAGACATGAGATAGGAGGGAGAGCCTTTAGTGTTTGAAAGTTTGTTTATTTTTTTTTCTTTTAATTTATTTTCACTTTTCAGTAGGACAAAACGATGTGATTGCTCCTAAATTAACCTATTTATCAAGTTATACAGAAGCGTGATTTCAGGCACTTCCAACGCATTTATAGTCAATTTTATCTGATTTTGTACACAATTTTTATATGAAAACGTACAATAATATTTTGGTAATATAAAAGTGTAAAACACAAAAATTTCTAAACTATAATAAGGAATCGTAACTACAAATACATTATCGAAACACCCTTCTGTATATTGTAGGGATCGAAGCGTGAGAGTACTTAGTCGTGCTTCTTATTTACAAAGTGAATATTCGGAAAATGAATACGTTTTTCAATTTATATATGTGTTATATGGTCTGGAACGATCCATGAAGGATTTTCCTTAAAAGAAAGGGACGAGTCGAGCGTTTCAATGATAAACCCATAAAACATTATTATTTATACACTAGGGATGGACAAGGAACGCCCTTTCTTTAATTTCCACTTAAAAGGGAACATTAATTGATCGTTTAATTAATTACTTAATTGGTTTGCTAGCTTGGTGAGAAGATGATGAAAGTGAAGGAATAAGCAAATGGTTTGTTGAGGGAATTGAATTCACCTTTCATGGAGGAAACAGCAGCTTTGACTCTTCTTTCGCACCCATCGCAATCCATTTTCACCTTGATCTCAACCGTCTGCAAGCAAAACGAGAAAATTTTAGTTATGTCGGGATCAGTAGTGGAACTAATTCACTGGAAGTTTATTACATGAATAATAAATAATTAGGTACCTGCATCGGCTTGCGTTTGCTTCTTCTTGTGCTGGTGACGCTACAAAAGCTTGAGATGTAATCAAGAGCTCCCATCTTCCTTACTGATCTCCCTTAGCTTCCTTCTTTAATTAACAACCAGAGAGGAGATGGAGATGGAGATGGAAATGGCGATAAGGAGCACTGAAGGACTTGGTATATATATACAACAAGGAGTGAGTTGCTTTGTTGGCCAGTGGAGGACTATAATCGGTAGAGTTGGCTTTTTCTTGGTTAATATTTTATGAAGAAAACGCCTGCCAAAAATTATCCTATGTATTGTCCAAAATCAATTTATTATGACTCCAATCAAATTTGTATAATTTTTCCTTTGAGATATGTTGATACGCAATTTTTTTTAGCACCCGCGCATGGAAATTAGACCACAGCTTTTTGGAAGTTCAAAAGAAAATGATTATTTGTTATGAAACAAATACAAAGGATTCATGATAAAAAAAAATACAAAGGTGGAAACATCTAGAGGTCGTTTGAATGGGGTATTGTAGTGCAGAATTTTTTCACAATCTCTCACCTGTTCGGATTTCACCTAAATAACTCGTTTGTTTAGAAGAAGAAGAAGAAGGACGAAATTGAAATTTTGATTTTTTTGATTAAAAACCCTTATCCATATCTAAACAAAGATTTAACCCAAATTCTTTATTCCAAATATCTTGTTTTTTAATTAAGGGAATCGAGGTCCAAATTTCTTATAAATTCTTCAAAAAATAATCTCTCATCCAAACGATCTACTACATTAAAAGTACATAAATGGATTGACGGTAGTTAATGAAATTATTGATATTGTATTTTTATGCAATTATCTAGATTTTGAGATAACCCAAATAAATTAACCCTAATATAATCAAAGTTAAATCCTAAACCATTAAAAATATATATAAGTCCATTTAAGTATTATATAAGTCATAAGAATTAGATCAAATTACTCAATGATACTGAATCCACGCGTTACCATGTCTACTCTCCATTTTGAGACTCCAATTAGGTCCTTTCGTTCGAGCCTAGTTATTCTGCTAACTTGAAGATTAGTTAGTGTATACTAAGTTACTAACTAATATCCAAAATGTATGAACTAATATCCAAGTCTGCTGAGTATCTAGATAGCACAGATTAGTATTCAAAACATCACAAACTAGTATCCAGATAACATATACCAACTAATATCCATAATCAACCAACTAGTATTCAATATGGATACTCTTATGTGTTATCTGGATACTAATTATGTGCTGTATGGATACTATTTTGTGTTGTCCAGATATTAGTTTGTGAATTTGGGATAATAGTTGATTCATGGTGGATATCAGTTAGCAAACTTTGAATACTAGTCTGTGCTCTCTGGATAATTTAACATTTGGATACTAGTTCATGTATTTTGGATATCAATTAGTATCTGCTAACAAATCTTCAAATTAGCATATTAACTTTCCCCCTTTCGTTCACAACATGTTCCCTTCTTTTTCTTTGTAATGAACAATCGAACTTCTCCTTCTCATTATACTACTGTATTCTTGCAAAAAAATCACTGATAAGAAGCAAATTATCGGGACATATATATATAATTATAACTGCGTCACAAATGACGATACGTACCTGTCATGACTGATTTTGAAGAAGAAGAAATTACTTCCCAGTGACAACTACTTATGTACCCCAAATGAATAAAAGGTATAGAAGCTTAAAGTAACAATGCATTCTTAATAGAAAAATGATTTGATTTAGAAAAAGGAAAGAATAGAAGCCTCCTAACTATAAACAAATCAAAGTTCAATATCTCAATGGATAAAAAATAAAGATTCGACTAAAAGCTAATTAAGCTAGCTGGGAATGGTATATGGATTGAACCTAAGTGGCCCCAACACCCACAAATTAAGGCGTGGTGCGCCTTTGAAACCGTGAGGCCAAAGGGAAGATAGTGTTTCCAGGAAGTCCTTATCTGTTTCACTAAGTAGGCCATTATTAATATTTTAGTTTGTAAAGTGCTTTTATGTTAGCTTTCAAAATTATTCAACGAGTGCCACTTTATCGATCGGCTTGGGTTCAATAATGGAAAGGATAGGGACAAAACTGCATATAGCAAAACTTATACCACCATTAACTAATCATATTAGTGACAAGAAGTATGTTTTGTAGTTCGTGGATTTTGTACCATAACACAAGCCATAATTACGGAGAATTCTATAACTCAAGCGGAGTGCTCGTATGTAGGAAATCAATGTCGAAAGGAGGCTATGGAGTGGGGAGAGATAAGAGGAAATTGTGAATTGACACTAAGGATGGGGATCCATATTATAATGATGTAGTGTATTTAGAGGTAGTTTGCTTGTTATTTCACTTCTCAATGTGGTTTTCCTCCCTCGATCAATCATGATAAATACCTGGGAGTACCTTCTGATTGGGGAAGATAAAAAAAAAAAGAGACATTCTCATTCCTTATTGAGAGGATGGAAAAGAAGGGGGACTCTTGGAAAAGCCTGCTCCTCTCGCCTGGGGGAAAGGAAGTCTTACTAAACGTTGTTCTCCAAGCTATTCCTACGTTCATCATGAGTGTTTTTTCTCCTTCCCCGCTCTATCACTAACAAAATGGACTCTATTCTTAAGAGATTTTTTTGGGTAGGTTCCATGAGGAAGAAAGCAATTCATTGGTGCGACGCGAAAGTCCTCGAACTGCCTAAAGAGGTAAGTGGATTGGGTTTTGAGAACTTTCATCTTTTTAACTTGGCTTTGCTTGGCAAACAGGTTTGGCGCATTATGGAAAACCACGATGCTCTCTGGGTGAAATTGTTAAGGGGCCTCTATTTCCCGGATGGAGATTTTCTCTCAGCCAAGAAAGGGAGATGCGGCTCTTGGGTGTGGAACGAATTATGTGATGCTAAAGATGCCCTTAAAGGAGGAATGATCTGAGTGATCATGTCTGGAGAAGATACCAACTTTCATCGAGATCCTTGGATCCCTGTCCTCCCCTCTCACTCGTTATCTAGCCTCAACCTCCCCCCGTCGCAAGTCAGTAATTCACCTGAATGAGAGAGCATGGGATGTGGAGGCCCTTCGGAATGTTTGTTCTGAAGATGTCATGGTGGCGATCAGTCGTGTCCCAATTGGACTTGCGGAGTCAAAGGACGGATGGGCATGGAAACATACATCTAATGGAAATTTTATAGTTCGATCAGCCTACCATGTTCTTCGTGAAAGCCGTGATCAACAAACTTCTACACCACCACCCATGAATAATCAACCCGCCAACAACAATTGGAAGTGGCTCTGGTCGTTGGCTCTCCCACCAAAAATTCGTTTCTTTATATGGAAATGCTCTAAAAGAGCCATTGCTACAAGGGAAAGACTTTTCTCAAGGTCTTGTGCACCAAGCCCAAATTGTCCCATCTGTGACGCGCCAGAGACGATTTTGCACAGCTTGTTTCACTGTCAGCATGCGTCGGAGACTTGGCATCTCTCAGGATTGATTGCCCCTCCCCCTCAAGATGCCTCCTTCGCCTCTTGGTTCTTCAACCTGAAGGACACCCACACTGACGCTCATGTTTGCAAGATTGCATACCACCTTTGGAATATTTGGCTTGCCCGAAACGCTTTCATCTTCGACAACATGGCTCCTTCCCCGGCCTCATTCGCAATTAAGTCGGGTCGTGACTTCATGGAATGGGAGGAATCGCGGACTTCTCCTGCTCTTTCCTCTTCTTTCCAACCGACTCTATTTCACCCTCAGCCTAGGGGTTCCCATTCCAACATCACACCACCGCCGTTCTCTCGAGTGATGTACTGTTATGGGTCGTTTGTTTCCGACTCGAGATTGGCGGCTTATGGGATTACTTTTGTCAATTCTCATGGTCAGGTGTACGACGCCAAGGCTGAGACTTTCCTGTGTTCGCATCCGATTCAGGCTGAAGCCCTTAGTCTCCTCAAGGCCATCCTGCTTGCGGTTCATGATGGGATTCCAACCTGCATTCGTACGGATTGCCAAGTGCTTTCTCTTGCTCTCAATCAGGACTCCTCGGCATGGCCATGGCATTGTCGAGCTACCATTGCTCAGATGTTTCTCCTTCTTCGGTCTGCTCCTTGGATCCGGATTGAGTTCGTACCCCGACGGCTTAACCGACTTGCAGATTGGGTTGCTCGCCAAGCTAGGGAAGCTTCGTTACCTTTGGAATGGATCTTAATTGTTAATATTATTGCACCATTGTTGTAACGAACATTTGGGGCCTTTTCGGATGAAATACAAGGATTCTTTGATTGTAAAAAAAAAGTTTGCTTGTTAGAGTTGAAAATGAAGGTTTTTGTTAAAATGAATGTTTTGGAAAATTTTGAATCTTTTTTAGATTTGATTCATTATAAGATTAATTTTTTGTTTCCTTTATTGTGCATTTGGATAGGTGTATTTCAAATACTAGCATTTGAAATACATGTAATTCAAATTCGTTGTTTGGATACTCATTTGTAATTTGTTTGCATTTCAGATTTAATGATTTTTTTTTTATTTTGAATTTTTTTTGTCACTTACTACAAATTTTGGTACCCAAATTTATTTTTTCTTATAATTTAGTAACTAAACTTTTAAAAGTTTAGAAAAATATCCAGAAATCTTGTTTGTAAAATTACGATTTGGTACCTTTATATGTTTTGCCTCACACTATAGTACCTAATCATTTAAAACTTTACAAATAAGTCCAATTTTTTGTTAGGAAGAATTTCAAATCACTAGTTGTTGAAATTTATTTGAAGTTGACAAGTAATACACTGAACATGTATTTAGAAATCATCCCATGAATTTGGCCAAATCCAAATACCTAATGTGATTAATATCCAAAAAATTGATTTGACATTTAGAAATCCAAATACCAAATCCAAATTCTTCTATTCAAACACACCCTTACTTGTTGAATTTATTCGCGAATTTTAAGGTTATGGAGTTTAATAGCTTCAAAGAGTAATCTACACAATATATTATGCACTTCACTCTATGTCATTGTTGCCACTTTGCACTTTGATTGGTTCTCCTTATTTGGTGGAAGTGCAATTTTGTCCAT